GTTTGAATTGAACGGGACTAGATCGGAGGGGAAACATATGGATAAGCGAGTAAAGCAACACGTAACAGGGCCGATAGCTCCCATGTTCCCATGGGATGCACCTAACGGTTCAAAACTTCGGCTCAGGCCATCATAATTTCGATCCCCGTTTGAATTGGACGAGGGATTGTAGTGCAAGCTGTTCTAGATTGTAATATACAGTCGTAAAAACGTTACTTGTGTCTCGCTCGCACGATACAAACAATGCTCGCTTCGCTATGCGCCTGCGCATCCAGCGCGACGTTCTTTTGTCGAGGCGCGCTTGAAATTCATTGTTACAAATACGGTTCATAATAATGATTGCACACGTTTTATCAATGTCTTCATTTACATATACTTTTTTTTATTTCCTACAGTAATTAATGCATCTGCGCATGTTTTGTTAGGCACATGATTATTGTACTTAAAGGTTTTTGTTTTAATTTCTATGGAATGATGCTCTCGTCTGCGGTAAGGGTTTACGTTGGTGGGGTATCAGTGGAAGATGATAAGATGAACATGAAATCAGTTATGCCATCGTGATAAAATACTTAAAGATTTTTGTTTTAATAGAATGGTGTCACTTTCTGCGTTAACGGTTTACGCTGGCGGGACACCAATAGAAGATGAGATGAACATAATGCTCGGTCAGTTAAACCGTAGTTACAAAATATTCACCAGCAATTTATCGTGATGATGAAAAACCGCGTGGAGGTCAAGTTTACATGGTACATTGCGTATTAATAAAAACTGTGACAAATTAAAAAAAAAAAATGTGTTTTATGTATAAATAAATCTAATAGATATCATTATCGTGTCACAGTGTTTATAATTAAACTCCTCCAAAACGACTTAACTGATTTTTATGAAATTGTGTGTATTCAATAGGTCTGAGAATAGAACGTAAACTATTTTTTATACCCCTAAGTGATAAGGATGGTCCACAACAAAAAATACTATTATATTTGCTCTATTTTTAATTTATTTTTTTTCTAATTCGCCACTTTATGTACAAACAAACGGCCTCCACTAATTTATAATATACAGTTGCCACGTCTGTCTGATTATGTTGTCTGTAATGATTTTGCGAAATATTTAATATTAACTTAATTTTTATGTAAAAAATATTTTTATTAATTAAAATTATTTAATTAAGTATATAAAGTCAATGTAGGTGTGATAAATATGCAATTTACTTTAGTAGAACATGAAACAGTAGACCCATTTGTCACGGCGTAGGTCGACCCGTTCTGACCCAGCTGACTCAAAGGGCGCGCCACGCAACATTCCTACTTGTATTGTTTTAAAAGGATATACGCACATACGGCTGGAATTTACGAATACTATTATTATGGAATTAATTATTATTGTTGTATTTATATACATACTAGCTGTGCCCGCGGTTTCACTATCGTTAAATTTCAATACATAAATTTCAATAAAAAATATAGCCTATAGGTTATTCTGATGCATAAGCTGTAAAGTTTCATCAAAATCCGTTCAGTAGTTTTTGCGTGAAAGAGTAACAAACATCCATACTCACAAATTTTCGCGTTTATAATGCACCAGCTAATCAGCCTATCATATATAATCATATATAAAGTTTCCTCTTGAATCACTCTATCTATTTCAAAACCGCTTCAAAATCGGTTGCGTAGTTTTAAAGATTTAAGCATATATAGGGACGGACAGACAGCGACAGCGACTTTGTTTTATACTATGTAATGATAGGTATTATTAAGACGTTTAGTTTCTACATTACATATCTTCTATCTTTGTATAATGTAAATAAAGCTATCTATCTATCTATCTACTCAAAACATCAATTATATCATATTTACCGAGCAAATCTTATTACTCACTACACGATTACATGAATGGCTCGTCATTGCATGACAATAGTTGTTCATGCACGGGATTTTCATTTTATATTAAACACAGACATCTATATAAATAAACGATGTAAATAAACTGGCTTTTAAAAAACACAGTAATTCAATTGAGTTTCTTGCCAGTTCTTCTCAGTTGTATCTGTATACTGAACTGGACGGTAGGGAAAAAAATTGTAATACAAAAAAATTGATGTTCATAAGTGGCTAAAATGTCCTATTTATTCATAAATGATTTTTGTATTTGAATTTGAATCTATTGTATATTTTGCGGAAGTCCAATTCATATCTTAATGGATTTATATTACGCTCGCCGAAGACATACTAGACATATCTGACATGATACAGCATCCTAGCTATATCTGAGCTCTATTCTTTGCCTGATGATACCTAGTTTAGCGGCGAAACAGGATACAAGGCATCTCTGATGACTGTATACCTAGATGAAGTGTCTGGACATGTCTGCCACAGCCGCTGAGATAGGGCAGGGAAATTACAGGGTAACGTGACATATCATCTTAGTCTTCTGAAATGGTAACGCACGGGTGGTATCGCCTATATACCTATATGATCAGTGCTCGACTAATTCTGCCACTTTGTAAGTAGATTTATAACCAATTGCATTTATATGTATAGATAAATATATAAATATGAATATAATTAATGGCATGATAGAAGATCCTGGAAGGTGGCAAGAACTCCACCGACTTGAGCGTCGCTCTTAAATTATGAATTAATATTAATATGTATATATTATTTTTTCTTTTTCCTCCATTTTCTTGTATAGTTATTACTGTGATTTTTTTCTCTCTACATTGTGTTAAATTAAAGTTCTGTACAATCTCGTATGCCAGAAAGAATAGCGTCTCTTTTATACATTTTTTTTTGTATTCAAAAGTATTTAAGTTTTTTTTTACTCCTTTATGTACACAACTGCAAATGTACCAATAATATTTACAGAATGTTGAAGCTTTCGTGGCACAGGTTCACCTACATCGAAAGCCAGGGCTAACTATATTTAATTGTACCGTGCATTTATGAATAAAGTTTATTATTATTATTATATACACTGTTATCTACGATCCAAAACTAGTCCGTTTGCTTACATTTTCACGACAAAATGGCTGAACGATTTTTAATGAAATTTAACACAATAGATTATATCACGTGTGGGGATATAGTATGTTTTTTATTTTAAAAAGCAGTAGAACTCGCTGCTAACTACCAATATGTGTTAAGTGTTGCCATTAGATGTTAAGTCCGCCATATGTACTCTTTACTTATGTATGACGTGCTTTAGTTATTTAAATAAAAAATAAATAAAAAATATGTTACACGTTACTTTGTAAATAACATAGTGTACCTATAAAGTAACTTAACACTTAACTCATAATATTACTATTAATGTAAACAAACATAATAATTCAACATTCATATATAGATATGCAGCATGATTACTAATACATTCTTAGTAAATTAAATCAGAGATACTTTATTATAAGGAAATAACATAGTTAACTCGTTACGTATATATATAACAAAAATGCAACTCTTGGTTTGTACGTGGAAGATATACGAGAAAAACTATGTTCAGTGGATTTTATCAAATACTAGCTATCCGCACCGGGTTCGCACGCATATGAATATAAATACGGTGCATACACCAAAATAACATTTTTTGCCATTTTTGTCTGTCTGTCTGTATGTATGTTCCGACTAATCTCTGAAATGGCTGGACCGATTTTGACGGGACATTTACGGGCAGGTAGCTGATGTATTGAGGAGTAACTTAGCCTACTTTTATTTAAGAATAATCAAGTTAAATTCCACGCTGACGAAGTCGCGTGTACAGCTAGTGTATTATACAAATAAACTTTTCTCTTGAATCACTCTATCTATTGCTAAAACTGCAATAAAATCACATCCGTAATTTAAAAGATCTAAGCGAACAGACAGCGGAAGCTACCATATCTTATACTAGGTAAAGATTAGGGATTCGATGAATATGTGATGTGAATGAAGGTTGGAGGTTCCGGAACAGCATCTACTCAAGATGAGAAGATTTACAGATCACACTTTTCAAATCAAATTACCAATTTTATATATTATACTAAACAGAGAAATATATTAGAGAAACAATATATTAGTAAATTCATGGAAAATATAATGTCTTTCTAGTAGGTATATGTGGGAAAGAGAACGAAGCATTATGTTGTCTTAGCGCACACTGCTGGCGTCATGCGGACATTAAGCTGTAAACGGCGAGTGAGAACTGTGGTGTGTTTGAGTGCCGACAATTAGGAAGACAAACAATACTGTCGATCTTTACAATAAATAAAAAATATAATATTTGTTTTTTTTTTTTTAGTTTTTTTAAAGAGAAATAACTGAACTCAAACAGGTAGACAGAGTTACCTACCCAAACGGCTTTGGACAAAATCACCTTGTTTTTTTCCTGATAGAGTAACAAACATACTACATCTATTAAAGCTAATTCCTAGAATTATGATTTGAATTGAACTCGCACTCATATAGTAATAAAAAAAATTGCAATATTTACAAACCTAGTTACAAATGACAATATATAGGCCACGTGAGTTATCTACGTGGCGATTGATAAGGTATATTACGCTGTTATCTTTCAATCAACTGTTTACCCTGGATTTACTCACGCCTATCCGTTATCAATGTGGACTACATGCTCCATTGCTAATAATGTACTTATTATATTTACATATATTTTAGGATACAATATAAATTGTTTTACAATAAAAACAATGTATGAGGATATTAGGATGATTTCTAAATTTCCTGGAGCTCCACGGTGAGCTAAATGACCTGATTTCATTCTCACACTATCATCTTCCTTCTGGTGCCCGACAGCAAATGCCGTGAGTGTAAGACATAGAAGTGTGACATAGGAAGTGTGAAGTTGGTCAAAATGCGGTGGTGACTTTGCTTTATACTATGTAAAGACAAGTCAATAACGTTTTGACTAAAATTTGCTCAGTTTGTTAGAGATTCAAACATGAATTACCTAAAATTATCCTCCCAACATTAATGGAAATTTGGTAAGAGGGATGGAATATTCACCTGTATGTGAGCGCCGCCGAGCCATACCCCGGCTGATGGAGCCGGAGCTGTGGGGAGTACTGCGGCGCGTAGGGCGCGGCTGTGGCGCGGGGCTGCGGCGGCGCCACCACAGCCCCAGCCCCTGCCGGCTTGCCGCCGTACGCCAGCGCGCCGCCGCCGTGCCCGTGCTCCGTCTGCCCGGGCCTGGTGACAATAAAACATCAACGTTACACTACGATTCCAAAACTATTCTTTGATTTCAAAATTATTCTGCAATGGCAAAGTAGGTGAACTAGATGTGAGGAGGTTGCGAATAGCGCCGAACCTGACACCTGCACTTCACATCTCTACACCGAATACTCGTGCGCCTATCAATTGTGTTTAGCTCATTCTCAGTATGATATTTAAATTATACAAATTTATAGTCCATATATTACATTTCATTTGAAGTCCTTAGCTTAGTACCCTACAGCTTATGGTCCTTCGAGCCGGATTGTCCTCAGACGGTACACAACTCCACGTATATCATGCTGTGCCCTTAGGACCCTATAGTGGCTGTCTTCACATGTACAGCGCCATGGACATTACGTTATTATATGATGTTGAACCCTCATGCGTTACCATTCCTAAGGTATAAGATGTCTGTCATGCTTCTTGCCTGCCTACAATTTTACACCTTTCAACCTAAACAGCTTATAAAGCAGGCTGGTTGGCTGCTGAAATAGCTGAAGGAGATGTAAACCCATACGAATTTGTTCAAAGTACACCTCAATAAATACATACCCTCTTAATTATACAGGTCTTTAATCTTTTTCGAAAATAAATGACGTTGTTTGTTTTCAGACTGTGCTATATATTTTCCTTTCCTAAGTCACTTACTTTCTACACCTCAAGATAGAAATAAACTATGGGAATGACAGTTTATTTCCTCTCCTACTTTCTTCAATGTTCCTTATAAAAATGAATAATTACGATAGACAAATTAATGTACAAGTTCAAACCAAATTTGTATAACATATGTAGAGACAATCAAACCGCACATTAATGTTATATGTATATATATAAATTGAAATAATTCCACGAACAAAACAGATGATTACGAGGAATCACTTAACCGTACCGTTTTCTTGGAAACCGTACACTGGCGCCTAAAATAACAACGGTTCCACTCACGGCTCAGGGATGTCAAAATATAATCGATTACGGTACCAATCGATTAATGAATAATGAGTAATCTATTTTATTAATCGATTTTAATATTCCCATAATTCGATTAAAGTATTTTTTTAAGAAGATATTGAATACTGTAGAAAATAGACGAAGGAAAATATTAGGACACTTGATACGGTAAGATGAATTTAAGAAATTTATTACTGGCACAGCTACATCAAGCAAATTAAAGACAGAATTGGAGTCGTGTCGTATCAATGTTTAAAGAGTATGATGGAAGATCGTGGAAAGTGGCAACAGCACCACCGACGAGAGCGTCGCTCTTAAATTATGAATGAATGAATGAATAGTATTTTACATCTCGAAGCTTAAAAAACGACCTAATGGTAGCCTAAAGCAAATGAAACATACATTTTTATTAAACCAAGTGATTCAACGATTAGGGATGTGAACATATAATCGATTATGAAAATTTTGATTATTGCTAAATAAATAAACGATTTTTATTTACTCGATTAATAGTAATTAAGACAAAATAAAAATAATCGATTGGTTAGTAATCGATTGTTAATTGTGTATACAGAATGTCACACCCCTACTCATAGGTAGGAGGAAAAACTGAGAAATACATTGTATAAACGTTTCGTTTCGTCATGAGCGGGAAACGTGACGCAGACATATTAGTACTAGCAACGCGCCCCGGATTCGCACGGGTTTCATTACAATATGGACGAGCTTAATGCCATATAGTATACAAATTAATCATATTTAAAATGCCAGTTTCATAGAATATTTATTATTATTAACTGACTAATATTATAAACACGAAAGTTTGTGAGTATGGATGCATCCATCCAGGATGTGGTTTGTGGATGTTTGTTACTCTTTTATGCAAAAACTACTGTACGGATTTTGATGAAACTTTATATACGTCAGAATAACACATAGGCTATAAATTTCACACAGGTCAAACCGCGGGCACAGCTAATGCTAGCATTATTATTGACGTAATTAGCTATTATTATTTACGTATGATTTTTATATTTACGACTGCACGAGGACTCGGGTTTACCAAACATTCTTTTTAGAATTAAAATTAAATATTCGTTAAAAAAAACTTACTATTAAAAGTTCCACTTTAATTTATTGAAATGGCGCACTCGTTTGCATAACATTTGCATAGACGCGGTCCTCTTTATTTAGCTAGCATGTCGGCCCCCTGCGTCGTTCGGACCTTAATGCATTTGCTTCCTAATTAAGATTTTTTGTTCCAAACGAGAGCTGTAGAGTTTCAGACTTTTAAATGTTTGTTACATTTCAGAGATAACGTGAAATATTATAAACAGCACTAAGATATTTGGAACCGGTTTAAAAAAATATTTTATTTTAGACACGAAGTTAGTACTTTTAATTTATCATATTCCAAAATTCTTTGTCTATTTACCTGTTATCTTTTCAAATTATAGGTCACAAAGATTTTACTTATTTCTTGTCATATGAAAACATTTACGCCAATATTTTTTGTCAAGAACACTAGTTGACTCTACTTGACGATAGATAGCGTAGAAATGTAAAAATATAATTTATAAGCTCAATAATGGAAGTTTTAGATTGTCAAGCTAAGCCGCAGTCAAAAACTAGTAGCGAACAGCATAAGTCAACCAAGTTTAGAATGACACCAATAAAATCCGCTATCATAAACCGTAAACTCCAGATCGCCTTATCTGGTCGCTATTTCTTAACACGTTAAAAACCGCATGCCCACCGGTGGGTCGCTCCGCAACGAAAGATGGGACAAGTTAGACAAGTTGGGAGCAGGTGATCACCCGTGGGCACTTTAATTGAAATAAATCTAGGGGTTAAATAATGTCTACCTCAAATTATTGTACACTAAAAACATATTTAAAAAATAATATACGTATTACAATACATAATATACATAAAAAACACACATACGGGTACAAACAATTATATTCAAGAATACAAATGTTAGCGAGGAATCGAATCAGCGATTATTAAAATAAAGCGGTGTGCTAAACCGCTAGACCATCGAGGCAGTCATTAATACAAATATTTATAATAACAAACTGCCAGTAACAAATTCTACAATAATGCACTATAGTACTTTTATATACAACTAGTTGACCCGAGCAACTTCGCCTGCGTTTCATTTCCCCACCTTTTCCAATATTTTTTATCGCAGCTCCGCTCCGATTGGTCGTAGCGTGATGTTATATATCTTAAAGCCTTCTTCCAGAAATAGACTATCCAACACAAAAATAAGTTTTCAATTCAAACCAGTAGTTCCTGAGATTAGCGCGTTCAAACAAACAAACAAACGAATGAACTCTTCAGCTTTATAATAGTACAGATAAAATATACTCTGTAGCAACACTGGACCACGCCTACGCTATAGTCGCCCCACAACGACCAAACAATGTCATGAATCACGAATCGATCTGCCACCAATGGTACCATCCTACCGGTGACTAACTTGGAAAGGTGGAAATGACTCATTTCTTTAAATCATACAAAGCTCATGCAATTCGAGACGAACCATTTGCAATGAAACGGAGAACCTGTTTTGTCGTTCTCAAACCAAATGTATATATGTATAATGTGATACTTTCTGTCTGTCCCGTTGGCCCCGAGCAGAGCAAAAATATTCGGATTTTTGCTCAACTAAAAACTCAAACTGTCCGTTAATAGAGACGATAACAAATCTAAATTAACCGAGGGGATTAATAAAAGCATTGTTAGTAGTTACTGTGGATCTAGCAATGTACTACGTCAAAGTGAACTCCTCTCTCCATTAACGGACAGTTTCGAGTTTTTACTTGAGCAAAGGAACCTACTAACAATTCTTTTATTAATCCCCTCGGTTAATTTAGATTTATTATCGAAATCTAAATTAACCGAGGGGATTAATAAAAGAATTGTTAGTAGGTACTGTGGATCTAGCAATGTACTACGTCAGAGTGAACTCCACGCGGCTCCCTCTAGAAACTATCATGATAAATTCCTAGTGAATTTGCCACGATGGCTAACTGACCTGACCTCATGTTCATTTTATCATCCTCCACTTGTGCCCGCCAGCGTATACCGTTAGCGCAGATGGGTGTACCGTAGCATTATCATCCATTATCAAAATTTTTTATTGATTTGTTTGGGCTATTGTCAGATGCTTAGACCTGTAGCGCTGCGACCTACATAGATCTATTGTGCTCGCCCATTTTCAGAGTTCGCTACCTAGACCCGTCAGGGACAAGAATTGAAGGAAATTCTTATGAGCGATGGTTTTTATCTCCTCCGGATAGAGTATAAACTATCCAAAGGAGATATTACGTTTATGTATGAGTGGGCTACAAGCACATCGACAGTTACAGAATACATCCGACTACCCTACTCTGTGATAAAAGTCGTGAAAGTTAATTTTTAGGCAGTGAAATAACAGAATAAGAGCAATCTCTATTCTTCATGGTATCACAAGCCCCTAGGTGGCCTACCACCTTAATTCCGATGGTTGCGGGTTCGATTTGCATCGGTCTGGGTGTTATCTATGTATTTATTTATAAAAACAATGTATCTTATGTATGAAACAACTGTCTAGTACCCTAAACACAGGCTTAGCTTGGAACTAGATGGTGTTGTGTGAATTCTCCAAATAGAAAAATATGATAACGTTATGTTCGTATTTCTGTTCATGGTTATACGCGATAGTTACCACTTACTATCAGGTGGGATGTCAGATTTCTTTCTATTCCAATTAAATAATAGTATATTACAATAAGTGCGTTATACTCGTTATAACACACCAAACGGAATTTCGAACCGAGCCGAGGGCGTAATAGAGCTGAGTGTGTTAAATACGCACGTATATCGTACGACGTTTTTCAACACACTTGATTTTAAATAAACTCAACCATAAAATTGTGATTCGCACTATTGCTTTCCCGCCGTTTTACTTTATTAAATCAGTGCGCTTGCTATTGGCGCCACGCGGCCATAATGTTCGAAATTTGAAAAAATAGCAA